TGACCCTGATTCCGGAAGTAAAAATTGACGTAAATTCCTGTCTACCAATTTTGTCTTGCAGACTGCTCTCACCACAGCATACGGCGTTATGCATCTATGCTTGCTTTATTGATAGTCATTAACGGTAGTAAGCAGATTAGATAGTGTGATTTGAATAACTGCGATTTGAGAAAGGTGTTGTGACTGAAATTTCACCGTGGATTGTGTAAATTGCTATTCGTGAATTCGATTTAATAATAATAATAATAATGATAATAGTAATTTACTTTATTCCAAAAACAGTACTTGTGATACAGATTGGAATTTTTAGCATTAATCACAATATTACTGCATCTAATTTCCTCAAAATATAAATAAAAATTAATCACACAGAAAAATTTCCACATTTACAATAGAGGTAGTGTCAAAAACATGCAGCATATAAAATGGAAATAGCAATAATAATGATAACAGCTAGGGTAATAATACTAAGAATACAAGTGAAAATTCCCGTTGGCTTGTGTCACACAGTATTGGCAATGTGGTATAGAAATCCTAACATGTTTAAAAATATTGAATATAATGTTCTTTTTACATGATATGGTGAAGGAAAAAACATTGATTACAGCCGTCATGGAGATAAGTTGGTGTTTGGAATTATGAGAGTAAAACAGAGAATTAACAGGACCATAAATATAATAGAAGTAATAAAAGTAAAACTTGAAGGTATGTAAGGATGGATGGAGGAAATTGTTTATTTACTAGATGAAAGAAGGTTAGTTAATTCTTGCCTGACACTATTTTCATCACATAAAATACGTGCCAAGTATGGTATCATAGAATTCTTATACTTAGACGTGCGAGCATACAGTTTTCTGAAGTTACTCCTTGTTCTACCTGAGGAGATGCAAGGTGAAAGCTGAGGGTAAAGCGGATGCTCCAAGTCAGACAAAATCCCTTTAGCAAATTTATTGCACGAAGTCAAATGCCTATCGACAACGACGTTAACTATGTGGTCCACTGGGACACCACTCACTCTACTGACAGTCTTCAGTATTCTACGAATTGTGACATAGTCTTTTTTAAGCAAACCAGAAAAGAATAAGGGTGAGCAATAAAGAAGAATAGGTAGGATGCAAGAGTTTACGAACTGTAGGATGAGGGGTTGAGTTATACCCGAGTGTCTTAACTTCTTAATGTAAAATGTCAAGCGGAATATTTTACTGGAGATTGCTAAGACATGTAACAAAACATAAGACAATGAGTAAAGAGGTCACTGTTTTTACATAGAAGAATTATCGAGATTTAAGTCTGATTGTATCCTGGTGTTTGTTTTGACTTGGTAACAGAAGAAAAATGTTCTTAAATCTGTCATAATGTACTAAAGATTGGATGTATAGTGAACATTATTATTATTATTATTCTCTAGGGTTCCGAGTGGAACATAGCGCTGGCTTCAACAACACATCTCCATTTTCTTCTCCTTTCTGCCATCCTCTTCAGCTGGGTCCCCGATTGACCATAATTTTTCATCTGCTCCTCCTCGCCACACGATCTTTTCCATGTCACCCTCACACCGACAACCAGCTGGGATTACACTCGGGCAATGGCGTGATGCTCAAATTCATTCGATGGCTTCCGCAATCTATACCCGACAATGCACCTCCATTTTATCGCCTACATATCTGTTTATCAATTGGGTCTTGGTTGGTGCTTTGCCAGCCAGAATTTCCTGTGACCAATTCTTTCTGGTTGGTCAGCTGGTCATTCAATCTTCATTATGGAGCCAGCCAGTGAAAGTGGCACCTGTTGATTAAAAGTTTGTAGTAGCCTGCTGCAAAAGGCTTTTCTTGACAAGCCCGCCAAATTTCTAACTCGCACAGAAGGAGTAACTGATTGACTTCACATTTTTGTTGGAAATTCGATTCTTGTTCTTTATTCTGAGTTATAACAGAAAATTTCCAAACTGAGTTCAGGTTGGTTGATGAAGGCGTATCTAACCTTTCCATTCCTAGCTGACTGGCGTCGACATTTTCATCCGCTTCGCTGACCTGTGGCTGAAACCTGTGGCTTCCTTGCTGGATAAGGGAAGGAAGTAACCTCTGTCAAATGTCTCCCCGTTGATGATGACTGCTGCTGGTGGTTGTTGTTGTTGCTGCTGTTGCTGTTGTTGTCGGTTGATTATCTTTATCACCTCCGTCCGTCTTCACCATATTCACTTGAAGTCCTGTCTTTGCTGCCAGCCAGCCACTTCTGCCAGCTTTTGTGGTTTTCGCCTGTAAGTCTTTGAGTTTTTGTGATACTAAGCACAAATCTTCTGCAAAATCAAGGCCTACTAGAGTCTTATTGTTGTTTGTTGTTGTTGTCCAGTTGTTGTTTGTTGTCCAGTGTATTTCTGTCTCCTCATTCACCACCCACAGTCTGACGCATAATCCAGGCCAAAACAATTAGGAATTTCATCGGTGATGATAAGCAGGCAGCCTTGTCGTCTTACTTCATTCTGTATTGACTTTGAACGCCTCGCTGAGTTTCCAATTGTGGATCACCTGGCACGTGTCATTGTCATATAGCCAGCTGTCGAATGGTGCTGATAAAAATTTCAGGTGTGTTGAAGTGGTTTCCAAATTACTTCTTGGTCAACTCTGTCTGTCGAATACCTTTCCGAAGTGGATCAAGTTGAGGTAGGAGTCTACGTACCATTCTATGCACCGTCGGTGATGATGGCGCGTAGAGTTGCAATCTGATCAGCACATGATTTGTCTTTCCTGAATCCAGCTTGTTCTAGACGGATAGCAATTACGTAATCTCAAAATGATAATCAGATTAGAAACGGTGAAAAACAAGGCAAGAATAGGTGTCTACGTTGGATGATGCATTATGATGAAAGAATGTAGATCTAAGTCCCCTAGTGAATCGATAAATGACTTAATTCCATCTGTAAAATTTGATAAAAAAACATTACCAAATTCGACCAATTGACCAGCAAGTTGAATACTGACTGTAGACGATATTTTAACAGTTTCATACGAGAGAAGATCTGGAGTAGGTTTGACAATACCTAAACACATGAATCGAAATCGCTTCACTAATCAACTTTCATTCTGGCTGATTTCTGTCTAAGTAAGCTAGAAAATGGACCTTTGAACAACCTTATCGTTAAGCTCTCATTTTATTGCCGATATGTTCTTCATTCTTTGTGATAATAGTTCTGATAGGAGTACAATAATTACTGAATTCAATGAAGCACATTCAGCTATGAAATTCACTTGCGAAGAGGAATCCCAAAATAGAATTAATTGCCTTCCTGAATGTCCTCCTCACAAGAAAACTAGATGGTAGCATAAAAAGAAATTTGCATGGAAAAAGTACTTGGACAGCACAATATACACACATTTTCACAGCTTCATTCCTCTTCAGTACAAAAGAAATTTAGTAAAAACCCTCGCTAGGCCACAGGGTTAGAACTATATGCTCAGAAGAAGTAATTGAAGATGAATTAAGCATTGTATTTGATACTTTGATCGAAAATATCTATCCTGAAAAATTTATCAAGAAACAAATGACAAAGAAAGCGGAATAGGACTACTGACTATCTGTAAACAAGAAGCCACTTTATGTGCGACTGCAATTCAAAGTCGATATATCAAGCGAGATAATTACGAAGAAATTGAGAAAATCAATTCAGAGAAATTTTAATGCTGGCGAACTACACGTATTATTCTCTACACGACCGATGGTGCTACCTCGACTGAAAGATGAAGTACCTAGACTAGCCACTTCTAATTGTATCTACCAATTCAACTGCTCTGGTAGTAGAGCCAGTTTTATTGGCCGTTACTCTAGAAACTTGATTTTTCGATCTCGAGAACATCCTATAGTATGGCTAAGTAAAGGTGTAGTTAAAACCATCAACAGTTCGATATTGGACCATCTGGTGCAAACCGGCCACAAAGCCAGTCAGCTCTGAAGAACCCTTCTCTATCATCATCTACCGGACACCAAATAAATTGCCAAAATCATCGAAGCACCGCATGCTCCAAACAATAGAGGCTATTGCGATTCGCCTCAAACAACCAGTGGTCTGTGTTCAAAAGAAGCAAGTCCAGCTAGCCCCTACTACTGCCCTGGCCGGCCTTCAGTAAAGAATATAAATTCATGAATTTGTAATATTATCTTTCCTAATTTGGCTGTCTGACATTCAGTGTATTTTTATGTTGATGCTATAGAGCTGTAATCTATCAACATTATTGATTCGATGTTATTTAAACAACGATATTGATGTTGTTCATAACACTAATTCATTCATTCATTGTTATGGATTGATATATAAATGTAGAGCCTGATGATGAAGTTATCGAAAAGAGTATTCTTTGTTCAGTATCCATTCTTTTGAAAAATTTTAATGGGCATTTTTAATCACTTCATATGAGTTTGTTGGCAAAACTGATAGCGTAGCAAATTTTGATTTTATCACGAATCCTCAACTGAAATACATTGCAGATGAATACTATTAGTGTTTTTATTGATGTCAAGACTCCTACATAACAGTAATTCTCTCGTACTGTGAACATGCATAGAGCGGTGAAAATAGTTGCAACACATTGCAATACAATATGTCTGTCGTAATTCTTATGTAGACGATATAGTGGAACAGTATTTTTTTCCGGATAACTTTTCGAATACAAGCAAATCTCCGTATCCTTATTCGAAACGTGAAGAACTTCCAGATGTTTTGTTACATATACTCCAAACTTATTTCATGAATTGTCTCTAATCACTCTCTATCTTCTTACATCTCTCTCATCTGCTCTAAACCCTGCCACTAGAAGCAACAATTACCATAGAAACGGTTGAAAATATAAACAAAACCACAAGTATTTTGTTTCACAGTATTATATATTTTCAATTTTACAAAAATTTACTTTTACATTCAATATTTGAAAAAAATATTCTGTGGAAATCCGTTCACACTATATTGTAGAAAAACAAATCGGTAAATACAGAGAATGTTACTCATTGAAACATTGAACAGTTGAGTTTTGTTTGAATAAAGCACCAAACAAATGACATTTACAGTTTGCTAAATATACTACTTATTTATGTATTACTGTTAAAAATGTTGTTTTTTAAATTCCACTAGTTTCAATCAGTTTTTGGGTATGACACTGTAATATGCACTTAGTTTCGATTGATTTGGATTAAAAGATTAAAATAACTATTTTAAGGAGTAATCGCGCTTTGGCCATTTGTTTTTCCCTCTGTTCGGATTGTTGGATTCCCATTGGCTGTAAATACTTTTAATGCGTCACTGAATTTTCGCATTTTCAAGGTCATTCTGACTGTCTAGCCTTTTGACTATTATTTGTTTCCAGCATTCTACCTGTTGTTAGAGACGGTGAAATCTATCTTATTGACGTCCAGTCTTTTTTTTGTCTTTGCTTGCAGGCGGTGTTATTCTTGTTGCTGACGAGCGATTAGGACAGATTAGCCAGAGCATTAAGTTAGTATTCGCTTGAAGTTTACTGGGTCTTCGTTCAGGTCATAACACACACTTAATGTATTTTGAAAACTTACTTGATGAAGGTGTCGTCTTATGCCCCCTTAAAAATGAATAAACATTTATTAAGCATCTTCCATATTTCTTTTGACATCTTTCAGTGATGCTTCACATAAATCTTCACATAATGTTAAAGAAAGCCTTGAACCTCAGGGTCGCAGCTATTTTGGAGAGATACTGCAATATTCAAAACTGACTTAGGTGGTAGAAATAGTGTGATAGTTACTCGTCAGTATAAAAATCTGCCACTTCGCTTTGGTTGGTACATTTAAGTGAATCTATCACTCATTTTGATTTAATGAAAACACTTGGACGATTAGTTCGGTAACAGTCACACCCGACTTCTCTCTAATGATCCAATTAGTTCTCTGTGGCCAGTAAAGCCTGATAGCTGATGTGAATGGTAGTCAACTAATCCAGTTAAACAGTATTGTGTCTTCACGCCTGTCCCCAATATATAAAACATCATATATACCATTGGATAGATCATATAGTGTAGTCGGAATAGTTTTACTTTCTACTGGGAGCTATTGTATACATCAAAAGACGTCTATACATCGAAACACCTGTCAACGCTGGTCACCGCAATCACATCGTCAACTAGAAAAAACCCGAAGAACAAAGACGGCGAGTTCTTAAAACCAAGCTGGCCAAGATTAGAATACAACCACCAGACAATACAATCAATGATTGCGTGGTTAACCTATCGAAACAACCACTATCGAAAATGGAACAACAACCACTACAAAAAGGATTAAACTACAACACCGGAGATGCTTCAAAAACTGATTTCCTCCCTACCCATGAATCATTACTCAAATCATCAAACTTAAACGAGGAAACACAGTCAGAGATAAGCCAAACAATTGTACCAATGGTCAAACAGAAAAAACAATACACGCAACTCTCAAGAACAAAAGGCCCTCAAAAAGCTAAAAAAAATAGGAACGACATCATCATTCTACCAGCTGAGAAAGGAAAAACAACATTAATCATGGACAGAGAAGAATACACCAAGAAAGGAGAGGAACTACTCAAAGAGGAGGATGTATATCAACAATTCCCAACAAATCCCCTACAAACATTAAACAACCGCATCCAAAGGACCCTAAACAAGCTCATCACAACTGGACGGATCACAAAACAAGACCAATGGCGAATGAAATCCAGTGGACCAGTCCTATCCCGGTTCTACGGCAGACTCAAAATACAGAAGCCAAATGTTCCGTTACGACCAACTGTATCACTCCCAGGAACTCCGATATATAATTTATCCAAAGAATTGTACAGAAAACTAAAACACCTAACAGGATCTTGTGATCATTCTATCAACTCTGCTATCCAATTCCTAGAGAAAATCAGAGGTATCCAAATAGATCTACAAGAAATAATTATATCCTTTGACATCACAGCATTATATGCCTCAATCGGACAAAAACTAGCAAAAGAAACCATGGAGTAATTAATTAGCAACGAAGAACACCTCCCACAACAATCAAAAATGCAACACACAAGCTGGATGGAATGCATTAACCTACGCCTAACAACCTACATCCTATTCAACGGCCAAATATATGAACAAGTCAAAGGAACACCCATGGGATCGCCAATATCAGGTTTGATTGCAGAAGCAGTGATGCAAAGACTCGAAAACATAATCCTACCAAAGATCAGTCCTAAAATTTGGATACGTTACTTAGGTGACACATTTGTAATTATCAAAAGAAAAGAGTTGGATAAAACGCACAACCTCATAAACAACGTCTTCAACGACATCAAGTTCACAAGAGAAGAGGAATCCGAGAACAAAATACCATTTTTGGACGTCTTAGTCAGGCGAGTAACCGCAGGAGAATTAGAAACTCAAGTTTATAGGAAATCAACTCACACAGACCGAATACTGAATTACAACAGCAACAATCCAATAACACACAAAAGGAATTGCATACAAACACTATTCAAGAGATCTCTAACCAGTCAGGGCTCACTGCAGCACTCCCACCTTAAAGAAAATTGAAAGAAGATATCTCATGAACGTCTTCCAAAGGACTGGATATCCACGGAACTTTATCAAAAAAAATATATCCCCAAGCCAATCTATCCAACCAAAAGCCGCAAGGAAAGTAAAAGTAAAATCGCCCTACCATATATAAAGGACATCTCAGAAATCACTGCAAGACTCTTCAAACCTTGATGAGGAATTGATGTAGCGCACAAACCAACAAAATCACTTCACTCAACCAGCTCTTTGTCAACCAAAAGACTAGACAACGAAGGAAGATTAAAACCAACGTCATCAACAAAATGAATTGGCCGTAGTGGACGTCCCTCTTGTTCGTCTTCGTATCCATGAACATAAGCTAACTATCAAAAGACATGAAGTCCACTCCCTCATATCACTGCCTACTGACAACCACGGATTTAAATTCGACAGAGGAAACACTAAGAGTGCCAGAGAATTTTTAGAAGGCTTCCATGTATTTCAATGAATCGTTAATCAACAGACATATCGAAAGAGACAAAATTCGCCAGTCGATAAGAACGAAAACTCACACACACAAAGAGTCAAAGTTGAAGTCAAAGAAACAATCAGTCCCGATACAAGTAGCCTAGAGGGTGTGAAAACATACAAAAACAACCCATCACATGCAAAGCTACCAGGAGAGATGACTCATAAACTCATGGAGAAATCTTGTACAGCTCATATCAATTCAAATTGATGAGTATGCGCTGAAGATAGTGCCTAGTAAGGGTAACGATAGCTTCAAAAATAAAACATCCAGCTGCTCAAAGAGCACAACTACATCAAAATCACCCACTCCTGAGCTACAAATCTTCTCTTCATTGTTTATATACTTGATGATGTCTGATAAAAGTATTTGTCTTGTAGATGCAGAAGGATGTGTTTAGGTTTCTTTCTGTGGGGCAACTTACTGCTCCATCTTTGAAAATACTCTCTTCATCTGTTTTCATACTAATTATAATAAAGGCTTCTTTTTGTATTTCCCAATGAATGAAAAACAAAACGATATTGTTGTTTTTACTGACGTTTCGCTATTTAATACTCTATCCAGTTCACTTCGGAAGCAGAAACAGACTTCAGTGAACTACCATTTGGAGACTGCCTGGCTAGTTAAGAGAAAGGAAAACGGAAATTTTAGGATATCCATATTCAGGAAGAAAATCCACTCCAACAACAAATATTTAGACTTCAAATCATCATACCCCATCAGCGCAAAGATTCCAGTTGTTTCAAGTCTTCTTAGATGAGCACACTCGCTGATGTTAACGGATGAGAAAGAAAAAGAGGAAGAAGAAATATCAAACATTACTGAAACTCTCAAGCAAAATAGCTACCCAAAGAACTTCATCAACAAAATGAACACTGACATAAACTATGGTCGAAAACGTATTCTGAAGACATCGACCTCAACATTTGTCAATCCATATAGAGCAGAGACTTCAGACAATATCAGGAGAGTACTCAATAAGCTCGACATTAGAGTTTTCTTCAAAATATTAGAAACACTACAAAGCATCCTTGTCCATATAAAAGACCAAATCCCTAAAATTTCTTTATCTCATTGTGTGTACAAAATGAACTGCTTGCTTGGAACGTGATGCGACATACATCGGAGAAACAGAACCAGAGAGAAATTAAGGTGAACAGAAGAAATGAACAACGTAGAGCTGCCTCCGTTCGACCACCGAGAAATCCAGTTGAACTAGAAAAACTTCAAAAACCATCAGCCATAGCTTGTCTACACGCTATAGAATCAGACCACAAATTGATTTTGACAATATTGAAATCATCATCCAGAAAAAGCATTTCAGCAATCACAAAGAACGTCTCACATCAATAAGCACTTCATATCAAGTGGAATCCGAATTGACTGAATAGGAATGATGGACTAAAACAGAATCTGACCTGGTTACAACACCCACCTCCCCCATAAATTAGCAGAATCAACACAAATGTGAAAGCAAGTTCACTATGTAAACACACACTACTTTCATAATTCTACACACTGATAAAATCCAACAATCTACACTTGATTTGGTTACCTTTACCTATTCTCCAGCTTGACAACCAAAAATGACCCCAGACTAACGAACGATGATCAATTTAGTAAACTTTGTTTTGATATAATAACAGATATACTATTACCTTTGATATTTGGTTTGAATGATCTTCATTATTTCAATAAAGAAAGGAAGACGAGATTTGCAGAGTAGGGTATCATAGGTAGCCAGACGAGATTTCAATTCGGAGATATACTAGTATGACGATTCGATGTGAAATTTAGTAATTCAACGGAGATTCTTTTGAGAAGGTGGGATTTAGCGGATCGCAATTGTTTCAGGAACTGCCGTGGGAAACAACCAGTTTGCAAACACCTTCTCAAAAGAATCTCCGTCGAATTACTAAATCTCACACCGAATCGTCATACCAGTATATATCCGAATTGAAATCTCGTCTGGCTACCGATGATACCCTACTCTGCAAATTTCGTCTGCCTTTCTTTATCGAAATTTATCAAGGGAACCAAATGTATGAATCTTCATTATTATTTTGACTTTCAATATGTCCTTTTAAGTTGAACTAAGTCTATATTTTTCTCACCACCTAACTCTTTGTTATTTATATTCTGAGATTTTGTAAATTCCGGATTAATTAATAATACTTTGAGAAAGCTATTAGCATTAAATAGCGAAACGTCAGTAAAACCAGCAATATCGTTTTGTTTTTCATTCATTGGGAAATACAAATATAATGAATATCATATACCCAATGCCCAAATTTTTTCAAACCGTTAAAAGTGAACTTGGTTTGGACATATATAATGTTTTCATACTCCGCTGCAAAAACCGCTTTCAACACATTTCTGCATTTACACTAAAAATTTTTCTCAGCACTGAATCCTCACTCAGAATAATTTTTACAAATTTGAAAATTATTTGAAAAATTCATGATTACACGAAATCAGCTGTGAAAAACGTGTTACTCACAGTTTGTTTGACTAAAAGAAACACATGATACATTTTTCAAACATTATTATTACTATTTATTATTTATTATTATATCTTTTAATTCCTAGAGGATAATACGGCTTCAGCTGCGCGTCTCCATTGCCTTCTGTTCTCTGCCAACTTTTTCACCCCCCTCCAAGTCTTCCCACATGCTTCCTATTCACATGACCTCCTCCAAGTCACCCTTGCACTGACGACCAACTCTCCGCTTCCCTTTCGGCTTTCACTCGAGGGCTTGATGGTTTCCTCAGTGTATGCCCAGCCAATCCACCTCCATTTCTTTCTGCCTATTTGTTTCACAATCGGTTCCTGGTTAGTTCACTCCCAGAGATCCGTGTTGCTGATCTTTTCTGGTCATCTGATCTTGAGTATTGAGCGAAGACAACTGTTGATGATGGCATGAAGTTTGTTGGAGATGCTCTTTATGACGCGCCAATTCTCTGGTCAGTACAGTAAGTAGCACTGCCTTCATATTGGAGTTGAAAATCCGGATCTTATTTTTGGTGCTGAGTGCTGTTGACCTCCACACAGACTTAAGGGTAATGAAAGCTTGTCTTGCTTTTCCAATTCTGGCTTTGATATCATCGTCAGTTCCATCCGCCTGTAGTTGAAATGATGCTTGCCAGGTAGGTAGGTGAAGGAGGTTGTTTCTTTTAGGTTCCTCCCATTTATGTTGGCTGATTGTTGTATGTTGTTGTTGTTGCTGTTGGTGTAGGCCAGGAATCTTCATCACCTCTGTTTTCTCTATGTTTAGCTGAATCCCTATCTTCTCTGGATGCTTCTTCTGCCAACTTGTGCTTTTCACTTGCATATCTTCCAGTTTGTGGGAAATCTGACATATATCATCGGCGAAGTCCAGATCCTCCAAGTCTCTTTTTGTGTGAGTCCATTTTATGCCTGTTTCTTCATTGCCCGCCGCTGCCTGTCACATTATCCAATTTACTGCAATCAGGAAGATCATCGGCATTAGTAGACAGCCTTGCCTCGCTCCCGTCCTCACTTCGAAGGCTTCCGTAAGTTTCCTGTTAGGGATTACTTGGCATGCAACATTGTCGTATAACTGTTGGATGAGATGTATAATTTAGAAAATCAAAACAAGTGATTCAGCGAAGAGACTCTTTTCAACGAATTTATCATCAAGCTGTACAGTCGTATATATATGGTTTATCAGAAGTTATATCCGGTGAGGGAATTGAATCTTAGGTGTGAATACATAAAATAATAATAATAATCATATGAAGTTCAATTAAAACTAAAATGTTTGTGATTATAATCGTAGTTAAATGTCAAGTGGCAAAGCAGATTAATGTCATATATAGAATAATTCATAGGAGGGATAGAACTTGAAAAAGGATGTGCAATTATAGGATTAGTAGGCAAATCGAATAAAACAAAAACGTTACGTAATATTGTGTGAAATTTAATAGCATAGAATTTATCGTTGTAAAAAAGAATTGATTTAGAATGACAAGTGGAACAAGTGAAATAATACCGGGGACAGTTCAAAGTGAGAATAGTAATAATAACAATTGACTTAATAAGGAAAAGTATACAAATTGAATAGACAAAATGAAAAATGAAAAATTGGTAGAGCTAAAATATGATTGGGGATTACCATATTTTAGCATAGAGGGATTAAGACCATGAAAGTTGGAGGGGTTGAACGAACTTTTTCTGTACACAGAGATCTGGCTTTTCTGTTTCGATAGCCAAAGCTTCAGCAATACAGATGAGTCGGGTACGTAGGGATTTAGGTAGATTGCTCTTTGCCTTGTAGATGACTTTAAAGGCGGAGGCTATAGAGATAGGGTGATCATTTTCGACCAGATGTTCTATGATCGCGCTTCTTATTGCTCCACTTCCACCTTTTCGTAGCCATGCAGGATAATGTTCTTGCACCCTCTTGGACAAAACTCGAGTCGAACGACCGATATACCTAGCTCCACAAGAGCAGGTGAATTGATAAACGCACATAGAGTTGGTCAACATTGGGATCTTGTCCTTCAGGTTATTGAACAATAATGGTCGGCTAGTAAAAGCTATTCTCAGGGAGGCAGCAGGGAATGTTCTTTTCAGGGACTGTGATATCCTTCGTTTCATGATATCGGAAGCTAAGTCCCCTTTGAATTCTAAGCTCATGTAAAGTATTTTCTTGGGAGCGGTTGATAAGTCACGTTTTGTAGGCTTTGAATGTATATTCTTATCTATAAAACGTGGTGGAAATCCATTTTCCATTAGGATTTTCCTCAAAGTGTATAACTCATCTTCCACAGTATCAGTGCTACAAATGCGCCGAATACGAGTGGCAAGCGACCGGACCAGGTTTCGTTTACGACCAATAGGTACCCAGCTATAGAAATTTGTCAGTTGACCATTCCATAACAGCCTACGATAAATCGATCTCTTCAGAGTTCCATCGGTCCTTCTTGATAAGTTCACATCGAGGAAATGAATGCTAGACTCGTTCTCCATTTCGAGTGTGAATTTTATCGCAGGATGGCACTCATTAAATACACTTAATATATTATTCAGGTTACAATCAATATTACAAATAATAAAGGTGTCATCTACATACCTTTTATATATTTGAAAGCTTTGGATCATAGGCTTCAGGGAACCATTTTCTAGACTGGACATAAAAACGTCTGCAAGGAGAGGACCCAAGGGAGAACCCATCGCAATACCATCCTTCTGCCTGTAGATTGTTTCATTGAAAGTAAACTGTACATTCAATGTACATCTCAAAAGTAGTTCTTTAAGATCTGTAGTAGGTATCCCTATGTTCAATTTGTTGTCTTCAATATATTTGCATATAAAACATATGGTCTCTGTCAGTGGAACGTTCGTAAATAAGGATTCTACATCCAAAGACAACATTTGTTTATTCGACGCATTTATATCCTGTATACATTCAACAAATTGGAAGGTGTCCCGAAGGGAATGATTAGATAGTTGCCCCCTGACTGGTTCGAGGATTTCAGCTAACCACCCAGCTACTGGATGATAGGGCGATCCAGACATATCCAAGATAGGGCGAAGTGGAACTCCAGCTTTGTGTATTTTCGGTAGACCATACAGTCTTGGTATTAGAGATCCTGTTGGTCTGATCTTTTCGTATAATTCTTCACGAATGAGATGATTGTTCTTCATTCTCTTTAAAGTATCAGTAAGTTGTTTCTCAATTAATTCCGTCTTGTTTTTCTCGTTCGGTTTCGAGAATTTACTGCTGTCTGAAAGTAGACATGACATTTTATCGATATAATCTTTTCGATCCATAATAACAACACCTGTACCCTTGTCAGGGCGTGTTAATAGTATATCGCTGTTATGCGTCAAAAGCTTAAGTTCTTCTTTGTGCTGTTTAGTAAGAAGACTTTGCATTTTTGATCTAGCATTAAGGTATTGATTGCAGGAGTCCGTAATGGTAGATTTGAAGCATTGGAAATCCTGGTCTGACGATGGTGTGAGATCATAGGTTTGACTGAGTAAATTCTCAAACTGGACATGAGTATGTAGCTTGTTGATATTGAGATTAACATCGCAAAACTTCGAGCCCATAGACAAGGCTTCCATTTGTAATTTCGATAAAGATATAGAGGAGTGGTTGAACACGTATCTCTCCGAATTCTCAGGAAATTTTCGAAGACGTTCGATAGGTTTTAGGCTATTAGATAGCTTCGAATTAAAAGACATAGTTTGTTTGTTGGTGACCACATTGACATAATCATTAAACGTCTGACGTTCATCAACCGATAAGTCATATAGAGCAGAAGATCTTTGTGATATATTCCTTTCTAGCTCAGGGATACGTGAACTGATAGAATCAATGTGATTCAATGCGTGTCTCTTGAGAGATTTTGCATTAGGATATATGTGATTGCGTCGGAGCACTTTCCAATACCATTTCGGATACTCATGATTATTGATGCATTCATTAAGAAAACAAATCTCTGCATTCACCACGGCAAGTTTGACAGAATAACGCAGGAACCCGTTGAGTTCCTTTACTGTCAAGGGATCTTTGCTATTTTTTAACTCATGGAAAATTCCCATTGTAACATTTAGAAAATCAAAACAAGTGATTCAGCGAAGAGACTCTTTTCAACGAATTTATCATCAAGCTGTACAGTCGTATATATATGGTTTATCAGAAGTTATATCCGGTGAGGGAATTGAATCTTAGGTGTGAATGCACAAAATAATAATAATAATCATATGAAGTTCAATTAAAACTAAAATGTTTGTGATTATAATCGTAGTTAAATGTCAAGTGGCAAAGCAGATTAATGTCATATATAGAATAATTCATAGGAGGGATAGAACTTGAAAAAGGATGTGCAATTATAGGATTAGTAGGCAAATCGAATAAAACAAAAACGTTACGTAATATTGTGTGAAATTTAATAGCATAGAATTTATCGTTGTAAAAAAGAATTGATTTAGAATGACAAGTGGAACAAGTGAAATAATACCGGGGACAGTTCAAAGTGAGAATAGTAATAATAACAATTGACTTAATAAGGAAAAGTATACAAATTGAATAGACAAAATGAAAAATGAAAAATTGGTAGAGCTAAAATATGATTGGGGATTACCATATTTTAGCATAGAGGGATTAAGACCATGAAAGTTGGAGGGGTTGAACGAACTTTTTCTGTACACAGAGATCTGGCTTTTCTGTTTCGATAGCCAAAGCTTCAGCAATACAGATGAGTCGGGTACGTAGGGATTTAGGTAGATTGCTCTTTGCCTTGTAGATGACTTTAAAGGCGGAGGCTATAGAGATAGGGTGATCATTTTCGACCAGATGTTCTATGATCGCGCTTCTTATTGCTCCACTTCCACCTTTTCGTAGCCATGCAGGATAATGTTCTTGCACCCTCTTGGACAAAACTCGAGTCGAACGACCGATATACCTAGCTCCACAAGAGCAGGTGAATTGATAAACGCACATAGAGTTGGTCAACATTGGGATCTTGTCCTTCAGGTT